TACACTTTTCTCTTAGGTTTCCTGTTTTGTTTCAGTGCCAGGTTAACGTCCACTAGAACCATGTCGTGGTCACTTATCCCCGGGACTACTGTGGTCTTCTCAATTATGTTGGGGTTATTAACTAAGACCAGGTCCAAGAGATTACCATTTCTAGTTGGTTCCTGGACTGTTTGAAATAACCCGTGGTTATCCATTAGGTTTAGTAGTTTCTCTGCTTGGCCTGTGTAGGCCTGACTGTTGTCAGCTACAGTAGTATCCCATTTGATGCCAGGGGTGTTGAAATCGCCAAGAATGATCACATTGTCAGAGTTTATTTTTGCTCCCATTTTACCTATAGACCTGTCAAGTTCATCCAGACTATTGCCCTGGTCTGATGGGGGTCTGTAGTATGTACCTATTATCAGTGGTTTCCTTCCTGCAAGTTGAGTTTGTGTCCACAGAACCTCGCAGTCTGTGTCAAGGTCTGGCCTATGGGTAACAATTAGATCATCTCTGTTGGCCTGAAATACACCACCTTGAAACATAACGTCAGAGACACGTGACCGTAGTAGCGGGTCATACGTGTCAGATAACTTCTGTTGCTCCCCGTCTCTAGAGACATTTTACCTTTCTATACCTTGCACTAAAGAACTGTTATTTCTGTCTGTTGTACATGTATATCCCAGATCCTACACATGCTACAAGATGTGGAATCAGGAGTTCTGGATAAAGCAAGACCAGAAGAAATCCTGTCTGAGCTGACCAACGTGAATGAAATCATCAGGGCGGACGCCAGTTTGGCAATGCCGCCATCAGTTATGGTAAATATTCTTTCACAATCACAAACACAATCGTGTCTCTCTGGCTTTGGTATACCTGACAATGAATTAATTGTTGTAATCCCTCAGGCTTAATGTTCATAAGTTCGGCTATACGTACATTTACATGTATATCTCAGTACTTGAAAGGCGAAGAGAATTATCATATTGAACAGAATATGTTTGTCGCAAAGGAAGGAACTCACAGCTAAAATTTTCATCGTGAGAATCGTCCATTTTTAAGGGATGACCTGGGAGTCATTTAAGGTCACCCAGCCAGGACACGTGACAAGAAAAGGGTAAAATGTTGTAGAATACATTTTTGTTGTTCTCCCACATACAGCAAAGTACATCAACACTCATGGAGAAACTTGTTGATGCATCAAGAGGAGCACAAGGCATGACAGTAGGAAATGTCGAAGCCATGACCAATGGTGAGAATTTTTGTATCATTTTCTACCTAGAACACTACTTTTCAGTCTTCTTTTGTTGTCATTTATCTATCAAGGACATGTTTAAGCATAATATATCAGTAATTGAGTATTACTAAGTGGTTACGTTTTATCATTTATCTGTGATTTAATTGCTTGGCATTTGATAAATTTAATCAAAAACAGCAAAGGTTGTCCACAAAACATTTAATACTTAACATCTACTTTCAGCATTGGTAGAAACAGCTTCAACTGTTCTCAGTATGCTACCAGAGGGAGAAACTCCGACTACAGCTGACGTCGAGAATCTGCTTCAAAGTAATCTCGTCGATCTGAACTCTGGCAACGTTTCGCCAAAGCAGCAACTTAGGATGATGAAAGACAGGCAGCAGGAGAAAGAAGAAATGGTACGATGATTAAAATCTTCTAATTTGCCCAAAACACGCTTTTTATGTTTACCGACGGAAAACATATTGATTTAGCTATGTTTCCTCTTCTTCTTCTTCTTCTCCTCCAAAGCAAAAAGGTTAATGACCTAATCCAGACTCTGATGCCATGGTAACTAGTTTTGGGTCACATCATGTTGCAATTTTATAGCAGGAGGGAATTAGACTCCTGTCTGACCATGAATGTGTTTGAGTAATAATTAACAGAGCAGACCATATGCAAAGGTAAACATTGTGCATTTGCTTTGCAAATGTTACCTTTCCAGCTGTGATTTGTTCGTCGTATTTTACCCATAAATCTCTCTGTATCATTAACTCAACGCACCTTTTCATACTTGACAGCAACAACAAGCTGCAGTGAATATTGTGAAGTCATTGGACAACATTGCTGACACACTGTTAGCATTGCAGCCTGAGGACACTGACTACCAGGCAACATTTACAACCAGGGACGTCGCAGTTACAGTGTCCAGATCCATGTTGAATGAAAACTTACGTCTCAAATCAGGCCAAACTGCTGTAACTATTGTACGTACTTCAAATGACAACCAGACAAGCAACATCCTAGATGTCAGGGTAAGCTTAGATGCTCACAATACTTTACATGTAATCTTTACATGGGGATCTTGTACAATTAATTGAGATATCCACATTTCATTTTAAAGCAATATAGTGTATACTAAGATTTTCACTATTTTAAACATAGCTGTTTTACACATTTTCTTGCGCTTTAAGCCTGCCTGGGTTCATAATGACATTTGGGGACAAAAAGATCAACATCGTTGCGCCGCAAAACGTGTTGAAAAACTGTCAACTCTTCGGTGTTAGCGCAAATCGCGGCCATGTTATTTATTTAATACATTCTTTTTAGGAGGCTTCTAAAAATACAGCAGGCCTGGCACCACTGAACTTATTCTCGCGCTGCCCTGTGTCGCCGGAAAAGCAAAAAAGCGATAATAATATGTTGAAAGTTATTGAAAATGATAATCTGGATGAGAAAATTTCATTTTTTTTAAACAAACGCCCAGTTTGGGCACAAAAATCTTACATAATATCGCTTAAAACTTTTTCCAGTACTTCCTAAATTCATTTTATTCCCTTGTTTTACAGATGTCAGTTTTTGAGAAGAACCCGTACTCATGGAAACAGTCTACCGGTGGACAAAACATCTCATCCCCTGTAACGTTTTTGTCAGTGAAAGGTAGTGAGTCCAAAGACCTACAGATAAACCTGGACTTCCCATTGGCATCTGATTTTTCAAGACATGGAAGACGAAAAAGAAGATCATCACCACACACAAACAGTAAAGTGATGCATAAAATGGCAAGCAGTGACAATGGGACCAACAGGACCTACCACGTGTTTCATTTCCCCAACGATGACACCATTCCTATTATCCAAATGACGTGGTGGGATGTAGAGGCCATCTTTCACGTGTACTCCATGTACGGGTCTCGCCCTACAGCCGACAAGTATGCAGAGAAAAGAGTTGTTCAAGAGGACTGGATAGAGGCCTGGTACACGGAGACCACTAACTTTACAGTCTCATTCACCCCCAACACAACGGATCGCAATGGAGATTTGTACATAGGAGTGAAGGAGATAGGTACTGTACATGCTTTCTTCCAGTTGTAAAAATATGATCTAACATGTATCATTCTTCCTTTTAATCCAATTTGCTTGCACCAATCGCAAGTCTTATTTTGAAGCAATATTTTTACGAGTGGATGCCCTTCCCGATCCCAACCCAAACCCTAGTAGAACCCAAGATCCCTGTACCTTACCTTAGACCTTAGTTCCTCCTGTGCCTGATGGCACATCGGGCAGCAAGCTTCCACTTCTTTTGTCAGCAGCCGCTGTCTCCGCCTCCTCCCAGGGGATGTTTGCCCTTGCTGCTCCTGTAGCAGGTTTATGTTTTATTGGGTTTGGGTGCTAACCCACCGCCAAACTCCCTCTATCGGGAGGTAGAGGTTTGGAACTGCTAATTAGTACCTCCCTGGTGTCTAAAGCCCCTGAATGTTACAGGTCTCCCATGCACCAGACCCGGGCTAGCAAATGCACTAAGTCGGAACAAGCTGCTACACCTCGACAAGGTTACACAATTCCTTATCCTGGTGGGGTGAAGGCCCCCAGGATCGTAGCAGTCAGATCCATGTAACTGAGGGGGAAATGCGTGTAAAGTGCCTTTCCCAAGGGCACTACGTCTGGGTGCATGTCCGGACATGTCTGGGTCCAGCCCTGGGGATTGAACCTGGGTCTCGTTGCTTGACAGTCGAAAGCTCTATCACTACACCACACAGACACCACCACCAACATTTCATTCAACAAATCTTTTAAGTAACCTCTCTCTCCTTAGTACTGAATTATATGTTATTGTATCATCCTCAGGTAATGTGGATAGGTTGTCAGAGACGGCAAGGGGTCAACCCAACGAACCCCCTAACTACCGACTGACGGTCTCAGCTTTTGGCTGTTCATCTTGGAATGACGAGGAAGAGCAATGGAAGCTGGCAAACTGCAATGTGAGGAACTGATTATTATGTTAACCTTTGCAGAAAGAAAACATCTGGTTTCTGCTCTGTTTTTTCTTCTTCCCCTTCTTCTTCTTCTCCTCCAAACGTCAATGACCAGGACCAGACGTCTGTCACCATGGTAACTGGAGTTGGGTTACATAATGTTGCAAGTGCCATGCAGAACTGAGTTCAAGTGGGGCTACATGGTCACCATATATTTGGGTGTGTTTGAGTAAGAATGAACAAAGCTGTAGTTTGTTAACCTCGGCCATACGAAGGTTAACATGATGCATTTGCTTTGCAAATGTTACATATCTAGTTCATACTACAATACGTTAAAGGAAGGAAGTTGCATTAAAATGAGAGTAACTGTAAATCTTGATCAAGTATACTTAAAGAAAACAGACAGAATGCCCAACTGAGTAAAAGCTAGGGCATGAGATACAAGCCAGAAAACAAGATATAAGACAAACAATGCTACCAAAATACCATCATTAATGGAGGGCTATGAAATTCAATGTAATATTTGCTTCTTATTCTGTCAAAATCAATTCATGTGTTTCATGTAAATTCACTAAATATGCCGTCCACAATATATTGTACTTATAATGTACATTATAGGATAGATTTAAGGCTTGTAGTATTGAATGATTGTTCATTTAGCTCCCATACATAAATGTACCATGTACGATTGTTGAGCGATAAAGTTCAATTTATTCTACTGTACCTGCGACCTAGGCTGAAGTAGACCTGGATAAAACTGTTGCCTGCTGCCAGTGCCGTATGGCTGGGTCGAGTATTGCAGTTGGGACTATGACTCTCCCTGTCCCGAACGCCATAAACTTTATGAACGCGTTCAAGAACTTCCGCAACGTGAGTGACAACGCCGTGGTGTTCTCCATCGTGGTGTCCGAGTTCATCCTGTACGTCGTTCTCATGGTTCTTCTGTGTGTGGACTTTGGACGTGTAAAGGTAAGGCTAATAGCATATATTAATTTACTAAAATCACCTCCCATACAGTAGTGATTGCACAACTGTGTGGTCCAAGGGCTTGCAGAAGGGCTTTATAAAAAGTAAACATAACTTTCCATCGACAATATTTTGTATTTTTAATGTACATGTAGGATAGATTAGGCTTTTAGTATTGAACAATTGTTCATTTAGCTTCCATACATGTAAATGTACCATGTATGATTGTTGTCATGAGCAATTAAGTTCAATTTATCTATTCAAATCTTCTTCCTGTAAGTTTGTAGTCTCAGACTTCGTGTTAAAACATTGTAGTCATGCCACTATATTATGTTGAGGGAACTATATTATATTGTTCCCTCAATAAGGTGTCAATAAAACTCCTGCCTTGCATCTTGCGGATTGCATTCTGTTGCTGCCTTGAGTCCTCGAGTGCGAATTATAGAAATGGTGTTAACGTTACCGTATAACATTATCCTCAGGCGAGAGTACACACTGCTCTACGACGTTCCCACACTACTCGGGTCGGTCCAGTCTCAGTGGTAGCTCAGAATGAAAGAACAATGTTATCCGAGGTGAGTCTGATCCCCCCAGACAGGATGCCTGCGCCTCACGTCTATCAGCTCACGGTCACCACCGGGTCCATGCTCGGCGCTGGGACCACCTCACGGGTCGCCTTCCAACTCTTCGGGTCAGAGGGCACGACCTCAGTCAAGATGCTGAACCCAAGAGGAGAGGTATGGTATCCAGAACCTTGCCTGTCTAGTCCTATGCCTGATCAAGGCTATATGTATTGATGTATAATGATAAGAAATGAACTCTGTTGATCACTACTGTGTCGTATTGTGTCAACTTAGTTTTTAAATGAGCTATGTTATGCTTTTAATCATATTGTTAATGTCAAGACCTCTTCATTCGTTCTTTTATTGTATTTTATATTAAGTTTCTGTCGCGATTTCTGTCTACATGCCAGTTCATTGAATAAAACTGAACTGAACTGATACCACTGAGTGGGAGAATGGAATAGGTTAGGGTTACATATACAATGTAGGATCAAGCTTGGTTCTCCACATATCCGAGAATGTAAATTTGCCCCAGGCACGGTTCTTGATAGGTGTCACAACTAATGTAGACTGACTAAACACATTTCTAGATAAAGCATGGTTTAGGATACAATGACTTGACCTGATCTGATTCATGATATAGACTCTCAGGTTCTCAGTATTTTTTCAAAGAACAGGCTGCTCAATACATAACTCCATTACAGTTGAAAATAAAAAGCAAAAATTTACTAGTCATTATTGGTAAAAACCAGTAAAGCCAATGTCAGCATTGCCCATAGCAAATCCCAGATAAGGTGAAAAGGTAGCCATTATATTAGTCAACTAATAATATACATGTACCATTGTTATTTGTCATTGGTGATTACAGGCTTTGGTACGTGGAAGTACTTTACATTTTATCATGCCTGTGCGAGAGTCACTGGGGGAAGTGATGTTGTTGCACATCTGGCATGATAACTCTGGGGAAGGCGACAGGTCATCCTGGTTCCTCCGTAAGGTTTTCGTCAGAGATATAGAAACGGACGTGATGTAAGACTTTGAAAACCTAAATTATGGTGTTCTTCTTTAAGTTACTAGTACTTTTGAAAACCTAAATTATGGTGTTCTTCTTTAAGTTACTAGTACTTGTTACCAAAATTAAATCTTTTCTGGCAGGTTGATGGAATCTGATTCACTTCTCGGCTCAGTCTTCTTATGAAACTATTCTCCCTTCTTATATTCATGTTGGTTGGCATGACTTAAAAATTCGTTTGTACCATGCAAACATTTACAAATTAAAATGCTTCTTCAACTGTGGTATTGCCAAAAAATCCTCCTCTTATATATACAAAATAACATAGCGGGCTCTGAGAAAGGTGTTCTATACTTTACCAACGTGATAAAACTCAATTTACTATTTTCGCCAATATATATAGCAGACTATTGCTTTAAAATATGTCAGTGATCATGCTTCCTAAATACATAACAGTAGCTGGCCTCAGATGTCACCTAACAAAGACAGAAATAATGTATGGGGAAGAGTTAATATCAGATAAAGGATGAACCGAACTGATGTCAGATGATAACTAATCAAAACGGCATGTTTTTGTCCAGTTCTTACTTCATCTGTAATGACTGGTTGTGTGAAGACAAGGGTGATGGTGAAGTGCAGAAGGTGGTGCACGCTTGCACAGAGCTGGAGCTGGCAGCCTCCACAAATGTCTTCAACGAGGCAACCAGAGACGTGCTCTACGATCAACAGCTGTGGGCTTCAGCCCTTATGGCAGCACCAGGTCAGTCAGTATACATGTATGCAAGTTGAGGTGGATATATGTTTCAGCTGGATTTACTGTGAAAATGCTTGGGTAGTAAACTAACGTAGTACATGGACCACTTTGTGAGTGAGTGAGTGAGAGTGAGTGAGTGAGTGAGTGAGTGAGTGTGAGTGAGTGAGTGAGTGAGTGAGTGAGTGAGTGTGAGTGAGTGACTGACTGACTGATCATGAGAATTAAAATAACACCGGCATCCATTGCTATAGTATACACATCTAGTTCTTAATCTATCTTTCTATGTTATTCTGTACAATTTGTTTCTGAGTAGGTTCCAGCTTCACCCAGGCCCAGCGTCTGTCCTGCTGCTTTACTCTCCTGAACACCATGATGCTGGCAAGCGCCATGTGGTACCAGACAGATGACAGAACTGCCGACACACAGGTGTACAACCTGGGGATTGCTCGTTTCACAGCAGAGGTACATTTTTGTAAATGTTCAATCAAACCTTTATTTACTGTACAGGTAGATTTTCATAATTTATAGATCACCAACTTGTCTTGTTAATACTCATTTTTCTTTTACCCATTTTCTAATTAAGCATGTATTTTATCATTTGTTTCGTATTTCATTGTGTTTTACTCTCGTTTATGTTTTTTAGTTGAAGGTGCCACATAAGTAACAGTTACTGTGCTTCTTGCCTAATACTCTTAAATAATATAAATATATTATGTGAATTAAAAAAAATGTTCATCTATTTAGTAAAAAGATTGAGTTAAAAACACCACTGGTCCCTGAGCAACAGTATATAATTCGTGCATGCATTTCGCTTGTTACCTCCATGAAATGTGTCATGGAGGTTATATTTTCAGTTGCGTTTATCTGTCCGTCTGTTGGTCAACAAGATAACTCAAGAACGCCTGGATGGATTGGTTTCATACTTGGCGTGTTGGTAGGGTGTGACGAAAACTGGAAATGATGAGATTTTGGTCCCCCTAGTGGCTTCCCTTGGTACTGCAGCGCAACTTCCGGTTTTGATATCTCGCGATCTGGACATGCTAGGGTCATGAAATTTTGATGGAAGGTAGCTCTCGTGCTTGGGAAGAAGTCATATGAGTATAGGAAATTCTATAATTACAGTGTTTTACATTATACTACTTACATACATGTAATGTATGTAACCTATGGCAGGCGGAACTTCAACAGATAATAATTATGCAAATGATGACCTAATTTGCATAATTAATGCGAAAATTCTATGATTTCGTAATGGTGAATGATGAGAATGTCATACTTGGGACATCTGTAAGTTAATCAAAAGTTAACATACATCACGATGCATATATCATGTTAATGCAGAGGTCATTTGCACAATTAAAGAAGAAATTTACATTTACATATCAAGATCATATTTCATGGAGGTATGAGATCTCGGAATTCTAGTTTGTTTCTCAATTTGACCCAATAACTTTTCTGTTTGTCTGCTCAATTTTACAGGAGCTGTACATCAGCCTTATGTCCATGCTGACTGTAGCCCCGGTTAATCTCATGATTGTGCAACTATTCCGGAAGGAGACACCGTTGTCTCTTAACACTCCGGAGATGTCAATCCGGATGTCCATGCGAGGTATGTAAAAAGGCATTCTGGAGAACAGACTCATCACAAGGCATATGTAGTGCATGTTTACTATGTACTGTATCTGTGATTGGTCTATGTTGCTATGGCAATGACTGGCTTCCACCCTACATATTGTTTTCTATTCTTAGACTAACATTCATCACAATACATGGTGACGGCACACTCAAGTTTTTCCAACTTATTTTTATGCCGCCACCGATGCAAACAAATGCATGGACAACAGACATACTCATTTTCACTTAAGTGGGGAAATTCGTGTAAAGTGCCTTTCCCAATAGGGCCCCAGATTGCACCAGGTGGCATGGCAGGTTTCGAATCCAGGACCTCTTGGTTCTGAGGTGAACACTCTACCACACGACATTTTCCAGAGTTTTCTGTTTTCCCCAATGGCCCATCAATAAGATTTGTTGTAAAGCCTTAGTGATAGCTACAATTGTCACTGTGACAACATATCTCTATGTCACAAGTGTCATATCATGAAAGCTGAATTTTTTTACCATGTTTTTGCTCAGTCTTTTCTGAACCCATTGCAAATAGAGCTGTCTGTAATAAACACACTTTTTGTTGACCCTCATGATCAGGCCGTCTGTCCAGCCTGGCCAAGTACGTGGCGTGGGTGACCGTGTTCCTGGTGTCCACCAGTTCTGCGTTCTTCGTGCTGCTGTACAGTATGGACTGGGGGAAGGAGAAAAGTGACGCCTGGATGAAGGCCTTCTTTCTTTCCTTCATGGGGTCCAGCTGTGTGGTAGAAACACTGCAGGTAATAGCTTTTCATCATCAAGCTGAGTTATGTTTGGGATCAAATTTAGGACATTTAAATATCACGTACACACAAAAGTCACACATTGCCTTCAAGTACCAGTCTGAGAGTTATCATGTTAAACCCAAGTTTGAGTCCTCAGTAGTACATTTTATACATTGTATATAACACAGTGGAACTTGCTGAGCAGCATCATTGGACAGCTTTTAAGAATGCTTAGAGATAAATACGCAAATGTTAGGGTCAACAAGTCGTTTGAAGTAACATAGCCAACTGCCACCATGCTCCGTGCTTACAAAGCATGTATTACACTGAAGGGCGGTTGTATTGTGACCGGCTAATATACAGAATACAGAATCTGATACATAAGGACATACTTTGATCTTAAAGGTGCATTCCCCTTTTCTCCTGACAGATCTTTGCCCTAGCTGCCATCCTGGCTGTCATCTTTAGCCTCCCGTCCCTCACCAAGCCACCGGCTATACGGAAAGAAGACCTGGAGCTGAACCTTTGGAACTCAAAAAGTAATTAGTAATGTATTAAAATTGCCATCAAATAAGAATCAGTTTATGTCTTGTTGCCATAACACTTATTCGACTATGTCATTTTTACTGTGACTGTTGTAAAAGTTCATCTGTGTTGGTTTACAAATAACAATTTTTTTTAAGTTCAAACGTTTGTTCCAATACAAAGACTTGTTCTCATTAGAACTTTTAACCAGTCACTGTCAGTCTAAGTGTCTTCTTCAATAGACTGATCCAGTGAGACTTGGGATATGGCTTCTCTGGTGTTATGTTAAACTTTAAAGAAGCCACATGACAAAGTCTTCAATCGACACTTCAAAGTTTATTGAAGAGTGAGAACAAAAGTTTGAACTTTTGTCTTATGTTTCCTAAAACAGCACCGAGGAAGATCATCCCACCTGCTAAACCTGATGCCCAATCGGCACGAAAGAGGAAGGAACTCAGTAAGAAGTCAGTCTCGACACTCCTGGATTTGTTTCTGCTGTTCGTCTTCGTGGCTGTTTTCTTTTACCTCGCCCAGATGGACACAGACCAGCGCGCCTTGTACGAGACACAGACACTGTCAAACACAGTTCTACAGAAGTATGATAGAGTACGTTCATTTACTTTTTAATTTTTATGCGTATAAAATGAACGTGCACGTGCACGTTGCATAAACTTACACACTGTTTATAATACTTGTACAAAAACAAACACGTATGCAAGTGGACAGTCACATAGGTAAAGCAATTAATCAACAAAAATCATCATTACAGACTTCTGAGAAGTCAGCAATCCTTGAGTCTCTCAATCCCCCATGTTGCCTGACTCCGGATACCTTTAACTCCCTCTCGTGCTCATATCAATTTTCCATCCACACCTGCAAACTGTATTGTATGATCATCAGGGACCCCTGGATGAATTTACATCATATATTGGGTTATTACCTGTATGCTTGTATGACTTAGGCACTTTAGAACTATTATTAATTATAATGCCATCCTTCAAAGTCTGCAATCCAAATATACAAATACCCATGAATTAGTGCCACCCAAACCAATACTTCTGTCCCGTAAATATAAAATCGTCCCTAAACATTTGGTGCCCCTAAAAATGCAACAACATCAATTCCAACGTCCAAATCCCGTATTCGAATTTTCGAAAGCGGCACACGCGATTAGGGCAAAACTTGTTAACTTTGAATTATTCTATGGAAGCCATGAAAGCCGTACTGTGAAAAAAAAGTATGGCCTAGTCTGGAACGCCGTTATCAAAGGTTATCACAGCCTGGGTATGATATAAGTAATGAATACATCTGCTCTGCTAATGGAAAATGATCACTTCTGTGTACAGATCAGCACCCCGGACCAGTTTTATGATTGGCTGGAGAAAGTCCTGCTGCCGACCCTGTTCCCGTCTGCCTGGTACAACGGTAGGAAAATGAAATTCTTGGACCAACAGTTTGCACAGAACACAGAGTCCTTCCGCTTTGGTCCTCCTCGCCTGACACAGAGGAGGAAAATTCCAGGTACAGTCCATTTATTTTGTGTTCTAAAACTACTGCTACACTGTACATGTATAGCATAAAACTGCAATGTTTGGTGAAAAGTCTATTAGGAAGTTCTCAATGTGTCTACATGATAAATCTTTGGTTTATCTTTTGTAGCCTTTTGTAGATCTTTTTTTTCTCAAACAGCACTGAATATTGGATGCATTGCCGGCCATTTCCTTAAGTGGGAATCTTGGCAATTATCACACAATTCAGGAACTGTGATGACATAATGAAAATGAGAGTTGAAATTGTATAGTTTTTTAATCGTCCATTGTATACCCAGCATAGTACGGCCTGTTAGTGAGTGAGTGTTACTGCTAGTGAAATATATAAACTGAAATATATTGTTTTTATATAGATACAATGGCATGGAAGGCTGGGGCTGGATTTGGGTGGGATTTTGTTGAGGGGAACACATCGGACAGCTGCTGGAGGTTCGCTGCACCCAACATTTCGAACCACCCGAACTTCACGTCTGAATGTAGCAACAACCTTGTCCTCGAGATCCCTCAAAATTATGACATCGCCATCTCATTCGTCAGTGCCTTGAAAGGTTCTGGGTTTGTCGACAAACACACAGAGTCACTGGCAATCGACGTCAACTTCTACAACCCCAGTCTGAAGCTGTTTAGCGGCATAAACATAGCACTGGATCATTTTGCAATAGGGAATCACATGCCAACAGCAACCATCACTTCCTTTAAAATGTTTCAGTACGAGAGCGACGCTGACTATGTGTATTTATTCATACATGTAGTATTCGTACTGCTGTTCTCAGTCATGCTTGTGAAGGAAGCGAAGGTTATGAGGAACACAGGGTGGAAGTATTTCACTTCTCCATGGAATGTCCTCAGCTGTCTTAGCCAGGTGGGCACAGCAACAATCATCGCTGTTTTCATCGTGCGATACACCACGGCAGCTGATACACTCGACATGGTGGCTAAAAGTAATGGTAGGTCTAACACAACACAACACTGCAATGATCTTTTATTAGTATTAGCTGGTGAAACCCTCCCTTCTTTGGGAGCCTTGCTAGAGGGAGGACTGCAAGAAGCTTCAGCATGATTTAGTCAGACTAGACTGTACAACAATAAACCATCCATTCTGAAAATGTGACGGCGGTAACTGTATTTGACAAAAGGGACAGCTTGAAACACTGCAAATTTGTATTTTTCCATGGCTTAGACATTAACAAACACCAGAATTCATTATAATCAAAATTAATCTGTTCTCCAACTTAGTTCAGTTTAATTTTCATTTTGTATTGTACCAAGTTGAACTCAGATGAACTTCATGCCAGCATCGATATCTGTTTGATCAGTCTGTTTGATCGGTTGGTTGATTGATTGATTGATCATCCCAAAATGGATTCTAATATTTAACTTATCTGCCTCCTCTCCCATCTAACAGATGGTAACTCAGTCTTTATGATAAGGGACTGCTTTGAAGACTTAAAAAACATTTTCTTTGACTTTAAGTCATCAACAAAACCCAGCATTAATTTACGTGCTTGGTTGGTTGATTGATTGATTAATTGATTGATTGACTGAATCGATATAAACATCTGTGATCCCAATATAGTTCCTGATATTCATCAACTTATTACCCCCCCCCCCCCATCTAACAGGTGAGCTGGGGTTTGAACACTTTGTGGATGTGACACCTGCTGCATTGTGGGATGCGTGTTTTAAGCACATCTTGGGTCTCGTCGTCTTCGTCAACACCGTCGCCTTGCTTCGTGCGGTCCGCTTCACTCAGACGATCGGCAAACTCCTGGCTCTTCCCGGCATCATGAAGGAGGAACTTGTGTCGTTCTTAGTTGTTGCTGCCGTTGCCTTCGTGGCCTTTCTGGGCTCAGGTATGCGTTTTGCAGAGCGTTACCTCAAAAGTGGTCAGTTCTTAGATTAACCAACCACTTTTTGGACCGTACCATTAAACTGGGGACAGGGCACTAACAGTAATGTTAAGACTTGTAGTATGTAGTGTGTGTTATGCAGAGCGTTACGTCAAATTTGAAGGAAAGATTCCTTCTAAGTTAGCTTATAGTAATATACAGGGAAATTGTGCCTTAGGCACAGTATTGGAGGCATAGCCCATACCTCTCCTTTCACCATGTAAGCATTTGTACCTCATCTAAAGACAGGTACTCATATATTTTACAGGGCATCTTATCTTTGGTCACAACATGCAGTCCTACTCAGACATGTACCGCACAACGCTCGCGCTCTTCGAGATGGTGCTCGGCACGTAAGTTCTGTTTCGGACTAAGCATTATCGTGATGAATATTTGCACAAAGGATTAACCATTTTAAAAAGTTTTTTTATTGAATTCAGCAGGAAAATCATAATTTCACATCTCACTCAAGGATGGTGAAGTGTTTTTTAGTTTGTTGTCTGCCTGCTGTGTGTATGCACGCTCACTCACTTCCAATCCTCACTGCTTAAAGCATTGGAATACACAAAAACTCCCCCTAAACCGGTACCGCAAAAAACAGTTACTGTACTTCTGTCGTATAAGTAGCAGGAGGTTGAAGTCTGCCATCTCTAGGTCCCTTAAAGTCATCTCGATCCAGTTTTAGCTCACTGGTCGTGAAAGAGAAGACAATATGTATAGTATTTACAGGTTCATTGTACCGGGAAAATTCCCCTATTTTTTTTCGACAAGCACAATGAACAGTGGACCACAGCTTAACGTCCCGTCCTAGGAACTGCGACCATTTCTGGTAGCATGCATGTTGGGTGAGTGTCGCAACAGCCGGGATTCTAACTCTTAGTTCAGAGGCAGGATCGTTAACCACTGGACTTTTATAATACACACTAACAACCATCGTGTTCGTGTGTTGTGCTCAGGTACGTCGCCCAAGACCTGGTAGACTCCAACCCTCTCCTGGGACCGATCTACTTCTCCGCCTTCATGATCTTCATCTTCACGCTGCTGGTCAACGTCCTCATGTCCATCATCTGCGAGGCCATCTCTGCCGACGTGGACACCACACATGACCAGGAACTTGCCGAACACATGTGGAGCAGCTTCCAGGCCATACTGGGCGCACACGGAGCACGGGACAAGGAGGATAAACAAGGTAAGATTTGTTTGTTTGTTTCGAATAACCAGTAAACTGTCTTTGGTCATGATCATACACACTGTACATGTAAGTACAAGCCGCATACGACCAGACTGTAAGGTTTGCTCCACTCACACCAGGAAGGACCCCTACTGACTTATTGTGACTCTCCCCGGGGCCTCCATTTAACGTCCTATCTGAGGGACGTCCCTAACCAAAGCTATGTACTCATTACCTCCATGAAAAATGGAGGTATTGTTTTTGGCGTGTCTGTCTTTATGTCTGTCTGTCTGTGTGTCTGTGTGTGTGTCTGTCTGTCTGTGTGTGTTTCCGCAACTTTGTGGTCAGCATAACTTCAGAACGCTTTTATGGATTGCGATGATATTTGGTGTGCTGGTAAGTCTTGGAAAGACAAAGGTCAAGGTCAAATATGGGCCTCCTGGTGGATGACCTTGGTACTGCAGCAGAACTTCCGGTTTTTGTATCTTTTGTCCTGAACAAGCTATGGCCTTGACTTTTTGGTGATAGATAGCTTATCCTGTCAGCAATAAGTGGTGTGAGTTTGGTCCCCCTAGCAGCTTGTTCTGGAACTGCAGGGGACTTTCTGGCGAAACCTTTAAAAGCCAATAAGTCCAGATAGGAACAACGTATTTTCATGATATTTGGTGTGTAGGTAGCTGAGAGAGAGATGTACAAATTATGCAAATGAGGACTTTATTTGCATAATTAATGAGGAAATTCTATAATTACAGTGTTTTACATTATACTACTTTCATACATGTAATGTATGTAACCTATGGCAGGCAGAACATCAACAGATACTAATTATGCAAATGACGACCTAATTTGCATAATTTATGCAAAAATTCTATGATTTCTTAATGGTGAATAATGGGAATGTCATACTTGGGACATCTGTAAGTTAATCAAAAGTTAACACACATCACGATGCATATATCATGTTAATGCGGAGGTAATTTGTATAATTAAAGAGGAAATTTACATTTACATATCAAGCCCATATTTCATGGAGGTATGAAATCTCGGAATTGTTTGAAGTTAGGAAAGTTGTGAAAAATGCATGTCGGTGACATGGTAGGATTCGTACCCACCACGTATTGGTCTTGAACCGAACACGCTACCATTTATGCCACACGACCCCACTATTTAGCCTGGATGCCAGCATTCTTTTTGTTGTAGTAAACTCCTTCAGCCGCGTTTCTGCTAAAGAACGTTGGCATCGAGGCTAGGTAAGATTATTCAACAGGTAAAAGCATACTAATCAGTATCTCCTTGTAGACATGAGTGTCTGAGTGAGTGAGTGAGTGAGTGAGTGAGAGTGTAACTGAGTAAGTGAGTGAGTAAGTGAGTGAGTGAGTATATTGTTAATAATATGTAAAATGCACATTACCACATTTTCAATCAACTAATATGTACTACATACAGTGGATATAGACACATTAACTACATGTACATGGGATATAATTTTCCCTATTTGTTACGTAGGTTTGTTGAAGAAAGAAGAGATACAGGCAAACCTGCGCACTATCCGGGAGCAACTTGATGAAAGTCTTGACATCTGTGACTCCATCCTCCCCTGTTCACGTGTTCCCCGTACTGTGGCTGGCCAGGTTACCAGACAATAATGTTTGCTACCCAGTAATGGTAGAATAGGGAGGATATTATAATGGTAGAATACTGTTTTTGCCCTATGGGGATTTCTGTGGTTAAGTACTGCAAGGTACTGTATTTCATGCAATAAATATGATCATAGTATGGTGCACTAGCAAAATGCAAAAAGTGAAGTACAGTATGTTTGAGTTTAAGCAGGGTGGTTCAATCTCCTAGGAGTAAGATACAACCGAATATCATTGCAAATAATGTATCGAATCAGATGTTTTTAATAGTACTGTAGTAAATCGTAAGAATTTCGTAAAGTTTTAATGTATGTTTCCTTTAGCTAGCAATGGGTGATGTGTATAATGATTGCCTGGCACGAGCTTTCTGACAGAATCATAATGTTAATAGGACAGCCCACAGAGCTAGAGATAATGTAGTTAAGTCCCACCTACTCACCGACACCAACAATAGACATGACCAGGTTGTCAGCAGCAGGGTCATATAAATAATTGACTCATCAGTCTGTAACCGTAGACACGAAAGGTAACATCTTTGTTATAGTCAGAATTGGCTCTCGTATTCTAAAGTATGACAAGAATGGAGTCTACGTGTCCAGTTTTGGCAGTCTAGGTAGTGGAGCATGGAATCTTAATACTCCTTAAGGAATCCGTGTGGACAGTTTGGGCGTGTGATTGTGCCGATACCTACAACAGCCGGGTGGAGATGTTCACAGCTGAGGGAGAGCACATCCGCACCATAGCTTACATTAATCAACCCACACATGTTGCTACAGGTGGGGAGGGGCAACTTGTGGTTAGAATTTGGAAGTTTGTAACCATCTTGCCCAAATATTAGGGACACCCCAATTTATCAATTTTGCTGTGGTTCTCAGACATTCTTGAGGGCCTTGATGAAATATGTTAAATTATCAGAGCTGATTATGACTTTACGCATTGCTGCTACTGCAATGTCACGAATTACGTTGATTTATGGGGTGACTAACTTAAGATTACGAAGATTAAAATAGCCTTACGAAAAAGGGCACGCAGGCCCCAATTCTCAGATACAAATGTAGCAAGAGGACAAGTTTAGTCTGAATCAGGAATTATTTAAGAAATACCGAAAAGAAGACTAAGAACCACTCACTATACTACCTTAAGAAGAGCACGTCTCCCAAGGATGAAACTCCCACAAACCTGTCCACTGACGGCTGCCATCTTGGATTGAAACACCCACCAGACAGAGTTGCACCATGGGTACTGCTTGTTCCTGTCACCATCTGTTGTCAGAGAAGTTTTTCTAAGTTTAATCATCATTTCCCCGGTACAATGGAATTTCCCCGCAACAATGAACCTGTAAATACTGTACATACATTTTAGCAGCTGTCTTCTCTGTCACGATCAGTGAAAGAATAAGTTTTCACTGGATTAAGATAATGTATTTTTTGTGGCCTATCACTGCTCATTGTGCTTTCGTTGAAAGAGGTAACTGTGATTTCCCGGAACAGTGAAGCTGTATACTGTACATAGCATCTGTCTTCTCTGTCATGATCAGTGGAAGAAATAGGTTTCACTGGATCAAGATGATCATTTTGTATTTATAGTGGCCTATCTGGCCATGAACGGACAAGTACAAATTATTCATTCTACATAAGTACAAAAACTTCTATCAACTGTGAGCTATTAATTAGTCAGTGATTTAGTGCATTAGCCTCTATACTGGGGTACCACATGATTGTACATTTATATATAGATTATAGGCCATTAATGGCCTAGTTCAGTCAGTGACTTTATCACACCTTCAGTATCTACTGCTCACAACAGAAACTGATGTCATAGAAAATAATGGTGCATTTTTTTGTATACATTTTAAAATATCTACAGAGGGGTGACAGAAATAATACCATTATGATATGTTGTTTGTCAGAATTTTATCTACTGTATCTATTTATTTCATCATAAGATAAATTTTTTCTATTATTAGTATTAGAGCGGCCCAAATTGGAGCAGGACTCTTACCCGGCATGAATCAACTCTACTCTACTCTACTCTTAGTATTAATTATAATTTAATATCATGTTATAGAAGTTGACTTCTAAGGGTGACCCAGTAAATACAGAACAAAATATGTATGTTGTATTCAGTGTGGTGGAATAAAAATGCTTATTGTTGAGTATGTTTTCTTTCAGTTGAACTTCTTGCTATAAAGTTTCTAACTCATCATCATCATCATCATAGATTGTCGCTATTTCTCTCAGCAAAAGTCCGAGCAGCTTCACTGGCCTCCTGGAGGTCTGAGTCTGTGCAGGTCGGCGAGAGTCTGCAGTTTCTCATCAGGTGTTGTAGGGTTTGGGGGTCCTCGCCACAGCTGCAGGCTGCACTGTTTGACTTCCCCCACCGTAGCAGGTTGTCAGCTGTCCTAGCAACCTTCGCCCTTGCCCGGTTCAGGGCGACCCAGGACCTTCTAGGCATGTCAGCCCCTGGAGGCAGGGACTCGCTGGGGGGTGGGAGTGCCCTGTTGTTGTTCGGGTCATTTCTCTTCCACAGTTCGGCCCTGAGGGACTCTGGTGTCTTCCCCCCGAGGCCTTGGACAGTCATGAAGCTCCGGCGGGACCTCAGTCGCCGGGGTGTCTCCTGGTGCCCGTGTAGAGGGTGTCTTGGGTCGTTCTGTTGTTTTTCCCGCTCTGTCCTTGCTTGGACATCTCTTCGGATGTCAGGAGGGCAGATTCCTGCCAGTATGTACAGGGCTGACAGGGGGTAGCCTTCAGGTTGCCTGTGATGGTACGACAGGCTCTGTTCAGTTCCACGTCGACCTTGTGGGCATGGGGTGACCTCTCCCATACTCAGTACTCAGTACTCAGCAGTGGAATAGCATAGGGCCAGCGCTGTCTGCTTGAGAGTGTTTGGGTCTGCTCCCCAGCTGGAGTTAGCGAGGTTGGACAGAAGGTTATTGCGAGAAGATACCTTCTTCCTGAGCTTGTTGACGTGTTCTTTAAAGGACAGGGTCCTGTCTAGGGTTACACCGAGGTACACCGGGTGGGGCGTGTTTTCAAGTTCTTCCCCTTCCCACACAATCCTGAGCTTTCTTGATGCAGCGTGGTTGTTTAAGGGAAATGCACAGACCTGGGTCTTCCCTGGGTTGGCATTCAGGAACCAGGATTTGTAGTACCCCGATAGGGTCTTCAGGGCGTCTGTGAGGCGCTTCTCGATGGTTGGGAAGCTTTTTGCCTGTGTGGCCAGGCAAAGATCATCTGCGTAGATGAACCTTCTAATGTTGTTGAAGGTAGGCTGATCATTTGTGTAGATGTTGAACAGCATTGGGGCTAATACCGATCCTTGGGGGAGGCCATTCTTCTGAGCTCTCCACCGGCTGCGCTTGCCGTCCAGTTCGACGAAGAATCGTCGGTTTGTTAGGAGTGACTCAATGATGCGGACTACTCTGACATTCTTGATCATGCGGGCTGCTTTGGTTAGTAGGGCTCGGTGGTTTACAGTGTCGTATGCAGCCGTGAGGTCAACAAATACAGCACCTGTTACCAGCCTCGCTTCAAAGCCGTCCTCAATGAACTGAGTGAGATTCAGCACTTTTCCGCAGCATGACCGCCCTTCTCTAAACCCACACTGGTCAGGGGTTAGGTGCTTCTCAACTGTGGGCTTGATGCGGGTCATGATCAGACGTTCATACAGCTTGTACAATATGCATAAGAGCGATATTGGTCGGTAGCTTTTGGGAAGGTTTGGATCTTTGTTTGGCTTCAACAGAGCTATAACCTTTGTGTGTCGCCAGATCTTTGGTAGTTGTGTGCCGTTGGCACAGTTGTTGAACAACGCTACCAGCCAGTCAAGGGCCTTACTACCAAAGTGCTTGATCATCTCGGAGCTGATTCCGTCTAGTCCTGGTGCTTTACCAAGCTTGAGATGTTTCAGGCCATCAAGAAGCTCTTCGTGGGAGAGAGGTAAGAACATTTCGTCGCTCTCCTCGAGGATGCGGCTCATCTCCTCTTTCATCTTTTCACATAGCCACGCTCCTTGTTCAGAGGTTTCCCATTGTCTAGTAGCTGTTTGGCAACTTGGTTTGGAGTCACTGCTGAGATGCGTTGGTCTGGTTCCTTGTCGGAGTTGAGCTTTTTGATGGTCTTCCAGGCCTTCTTACTATTATGAGTCATGTCCAGCCCGTCGATGGTTTCTTGCCACCGTTCCCTTCTTTAGTCGCTGAGAGATGCAAGTACGTTTTCGCCAAGCTCAATAGTTTCCTCAGCAAATGGGTCACTTTCGTAGGCGTTTGTGTATCTGGTGTACATTTCTTTGCTGGTTTCAGTCAGGCCAGGAATATACTGCTTTCTGCAGCCACGGGGAATGTTGTTTTTTTGCGGTTTTCCATACCAGTTGGCGAAAGGATACGTAGCCATCAGGGGTTGGGTCTATGTCTTCTATTCCTGCTTCCAGCTCCTCTGTGAAAGCTTCCCAATTAGCCTTACGGTAGTTGAATCTTGGCTGAGGCTTCCTGTTCGTGGTAGGGTTGATGACAGGAGCAAGATGCACAGTGATGGGTCTGTGTTGGGACTTGGGTATGGGATTGCTGACTGACCGTTGGAAGTTCTGGCGGTATCGAGATGATACAAAAGCCAGGTCTGGATTGTATCCTCGGCGCCAGCGAGCACTGTGAAAGGATGGTTTGTCCTTGGCTCTGTTTAAGAGTACCAGGTCCGTGTCCGAAGCCCACTCTTCGACGAGTTCACCATCCTTATTGGTGGTGCTGTAGCCCCAGCTGGTGCTGTGGCTGTTGAAGTCGCCGATGACCAGGTGTACGCCATCGTTAACAGGGAGGTCTTGGGGCCACTTGAACGGGACATTGGGGGGCTTGTAGACGCTTGTGATGGTTAGCTTGTCAGTCTTGACTCTTAGTATTTCCAGTCCATTGGCAGACTTACTTTCTAACTGACTTTTAAAGAGTATAGCTTTATTTCTGTAACCAAGGTCACCAGACATGGTCTCTGTATGGGCCTTGCTTTGGATGCTAGTTCTAA